AAGCAATACCTGTGCCATAACAAACAAAACGTTCAAGTTTCATCTTACGACTCCAAAGACTCTCCTTCAGTCTGGTTTCTGACTGGGCTCCAAAGATCAAGCTACATCAATTACATAGGAGAAGGGTACAGGCCTCCCCTTACATAGGAGGTGCGTCTGCTCCACAGCAATCCAGCTCAACTCTCAGTTTTAGGTTTAGAAATACCAGCAGTCCCATTAGTCCCATTGCTAAAGCACAGATGGGAAGCAGACCTTGCTAAGGAGAAAAAAAAAAAGGAACTGCACTGGGCTGGTTCTGGATTTACTCCTCTTAAAAAGAAAAACCTGCAAACTTCCTTGGCATATGGAGCCTGACACACGAGAAGGTAATGTGCTTGAGGTCTGCAGTAACTGTTAACTCCAAGTCCTGGAGCACACAGCTTCCTCTTTCCAGTCCGTCTTAACCCCACCTCTGTTTCCCCTCACATGCTCAACTATCTTCTGACAAGTCTATTACCATCATTTCTTCAGACCAAACAAAGCAAATGGCAACCATCTTCTCAACGGGGGCCTTTGGGTATAGGCAGGCACTGATGGAGTTGGACTGTTTGCCATTTCATGTGCAGTTATCCCACCATGCTCCGATTCATATGATGAGAACCAAAACAACTAACTGTAAGATCCATCATCCACAACTACACACGCCACACAGGCTTGGAAGGCAGCTGTTCCACGCACTTGGGATGTACCTTCAAGTTACTCGAGTAAACACCTTTGCTCGCACTGTGACCTGGACGACAACGTGACTGATGCAGCCCTCACAACCCTTGTGTACATGTACTGAGCCTACTCCAAGTGCTGGCCAGGACCCCACATTGCCCAGGGCATGCTGGCCACCAGGAAAATCTGCAGGGCCAACGTGCTTCACTCCTGGGAATTTTACCTGGTCCTCCTGCAATCATTTGTTTTGTGCAAAATTGAAACAGTGTGTGGTACTTGCATGTTGCATTCTTTACAAAAACCCTTTTCCCCCCACCCATTGTTTAAAACATTTATATAAATTTTATTTAAACAGAAAGTTAGAAATCTTATTTACAATTTGTTTTTCTCCCAAAAGAGCATCTAAAATCAATGCCCGAACCCTTCAAGAGGATATAAATTTAACCTTGATTTTTTTTTCTTTTTTTTTTTAAAAAAAACCGGAAACTGCTAAGCTATCCCTCCCCAATCCTACAAATAAATATGGCAATGAACAGAAGCCGATTTGGAAAGGGTCCTCTGTAGCTCAATCTGTAGATCCCAAGAACAAATTAGGGTTTCAGAATTTCCTGGTCTTCAAATTGATTTATTCCATTGCTTGAGGTATAGAATTTTATCTTGGTTAGTCAGAATCCCCATGAAGCTCCATGCCTCATCAGCTGAAACGTGGACTCTTCTTAGGTATTCCTTTTGCTAGCCTGTATGCTTCGCCGCGCCAGCGGCTGTTTTGGTTACGGCCTCGGGCTGAAGGCTGGTTCTACTGCATCCCATCCTCCTCTGTGCAGCCTCCTCCCACTGTGAAACGGAACTCCTGGAGGTTCGAGACTCCGTGGAAGTGCACAAAGGCGCCAGCCACTACAAAGACGTGGAACAGCTGATGGGAGTGGAACTGCAGGAAAGAAAACACTCCAGTTCAGCCAGGGCACTCCGGGCTCCAGCGCCACCCTGCCTCCCGAAAAGCCACGCATTCCGCTGCAGGACGCAGTGACAGGGAGCAGGGCCTCACACCACGAGCTGCAGAGTTCTCCAAGTTGTGTGTTAAAGCCCATCCCTCTCCTGGTATTAGCCAAATAATCGAATTCTACACACACACACACACCCCCATACACACACCCCCTTCCCTTCAGAGTCATCTTAACCAGCTGGTCAATAAACAAATATAGTACATAAGTGCTACAACTCATCTTTGTGAAGGGACAGGGATGAGTTCAGAGCCTTAGGCAAAAGGCTTAAGCAGGACACTTTTAAAACTAGTCCCTTCACAAGACACAGTGCTGATTCATTGATAAAAAGGTCTCTCTCATACAGATAACAGGTACAAACTCTGCTCTGGTCACAGGTGTAAGTTTTACCAAATGGATTTTGAATGCTGTTATTTTACTTTTCTACTACAGCAAAACAGGACAGAAAAAAACTGGTATTATATTAAAACCTAGGAACAACTAAATATTCTTAACCAATGCCCAGGATGTTATTGATTAGAGTACAGCAGAATGAAAACCATTAGGGAGCTATATGACAGAGCACACCCTTGTTTGAGGGAAGCCATACCAATATGGATTATGCTGTTGAAATATTTCTACAAATGTGTGTTTGCAGGCTTCATGGAAAGCTTGGAAAAGAGTTGGTGGTACACCAGTGCTTTTGGAGCCTATAGGAGCAATGCTTTCTTTGTCCATTTAAACACACCAAGCAAACTGGTGCTGTGCAAAAGCCACTCAAACAACTCAAGCCTCATTCTCACTTCTAGCCCTTAGGGGCCTTAACTATGCTAGTAGAAGTACAGTGGCCTTCTAAAGGTCTACCTCCCCCTCATCTCTACTCTTGCTTCACTCAATTTCTTTCTTAACATCTTCCCCACGTATTTCTCCTCCACTCTTCATTATTCTTTCCCTCATACCAAGTCTCCCCCACCCATCCTCTTGCTCACCCCACTTTCGCTTCTCCCTTCAAAGACCACCGTATCTATCCAGCATTTTCACTGGCTGCACAAGATGAGGAGCCAGTCCTGGTGAAGATCCCAGAGAGCACACTAAACATCAGCAAAATAACCATGTACTATTCTGCACAGAAGCAAGATAAAGACATGTGTTTGTAAGATCCACAACACACACACACACACACACACAAGTTCACAGAGTTGCTTGGCCATCTGTTAAAGCTGCCTAGTAAATGTGCTGGAGTGAATTTGCACACCAGCAGTTACCTCAGATCAGCCAGGTTGTGACAACTCATGAAGAGAGGCACCAGGAAAGCCAGGCTCGGAGAGCCCACAGTTATTTGGCCGCTGAAGACCTATTGCTTCTGGTGCAGCAGTTTGATACTTGCAATAAGAAAACACTGACACAACATCCTTCAGCCTCAAGGGGAACCAGCTTTCACATTGGTCTCCTCACCCAGCCATTCCGTAGACTCACCCAGATGTCACACTTGCCAGGGAAGAATCTCTCCGGGATGCGGGCAGCATATAGTGCAGCACCAGTGATGTACAGGCATGCCATGAGTGCCAGCCAGCCTATCTGCCCCATTGTGGCTGCTTTCAGGAGCCCCTCAGAGATGACAAAGTGCAGAGTGGGAATTACCCCACTAAGACCCAGACCTAGAAATACTCCTGGGAGGTAAAGAAAATGTGGGAGAGTCAGGTTTGAGCACAGTGGAGGTAAAGGGACACAACGAAAACACAAAAGCTACGGAAGGAAAACTCAGTATTTGCCAAAGCAGCAGAAAGGTGACAGCCCTTGAAGCTGGAGGTGCCCAGAGGAGATTTATTGGGAAGGAAGCTAAAGAATGCACAGACTTCCTTCATATACCAGAAACTACTCGGCTATATGTTCCAGGAGATCGCCAAAATACTTCATTTACTGATTGCTCCTGCCAGCTTCAGTGTACGTGAGGCCAGTTACTGCTCTCGGCCTGTAGGGGGAACTGAGACCACGCAGACTGTGCCTCACTTCACCATCCCCGCTCAAGAGCAAGACAAGGAGAAACAACAAAGAGGTTGTTTATCATACACTGCACAAGCGGTCCTAGGAAACAGAAAAGGGGCAGCTGCGCTCATCTGATCTGCCATGTAAGAGAAACATGGTTTGTTTGTTTAGATTTGAGCAGCAAGTACAGAAAACTTTTTTTTAAAAAGTGGGCATGGGGGAAGATATTCATGACCCATACAGAGATTTTAAGTTTGGAAAGCTGAACTCTCTGAAGGTACACCAGTAACTTGTCCAGGAAATCTAGATTTACTGTAGACAGCATGTGCAAGTTAGGAAACAAGAAATATTACTATTCAACCAATCTGTGTGCACATTCCACAGCTGCCCCCTAAGCTTTCTTTTTTTTCCTACCTCAGAATGTGAAACCAAATCTGGTTTTGTTCTTTTGACAAAGAGTAAAAATAGGTTTTATCTTGACTATGTATTTTATCTAGGCAAATCATTCAGATTAGTTCAGTCATCCAATGATTTGCTAGTGTCTGAGCCTAGTGTTACCAAACCAAGACAAACATTAGAAGTACACATACACACACCAAGCAGTCAGTCGTTTTTTGGGAGCAAAGTTGCTAGATACAGCTAGAAATGCTTTGCACTACCTTTCCTGCTGCATGTGTTACTGTCCATTTCAGGAATGCACTTCCAGGACTTGCACTAGCCCTTGTCTGTGCATCCAGCTGGCTACAAAATATATCCTGAGAGCAAACCCATCAGGCTCCCAATCCAAGAATATCAGGTATCTTAAGTCTTCCCAAGGTAGTCTTTCCAAGTGGCAAGTATGAAGGAGGAAAGGCAGCCAAGTAGCCAAACAGTTAAGTTGAGGTCTTACCTGCCCTTACACCCCGGTATTCAGGGGTGGCAAACATGTCCCATTGTGAGACAATTATGGCTGCGATGCCCAGGACACAGATCACAATCAAGTAGATGAAGCAAGGCTGAGGGTTGCAGTAGAAGGAGTAATACAGCCATGGTACAAAGCTGCCCATTATGAGAAGTGCAATGCCAGAATAATCCAGCCTAGAAGGAGACAAAAATCAGTTTCATAAGAAATGCAAACCTTTGGAAATCCTCTCACCCCCACGCCCTTCTTTAGTAGATCAACTGTCTACTTCTCACTGCAAAACGAAATTACTTTCGCTGTTGCAGCTTACTTCCTGATGGCAACTCTTCACCAGTGCCCTCCTATGGTAATGGACTCCCTTGGCAGACAGCCAGTAAGGCCATTTTTGGCCAGCCATCAGCAATACCTTCAGTAACCTTTAGACCAAAGCTTTTTGAGGAAAACTCAAATTTGAGTTTCCGATGAGGTAAAACACAGCACAAGAGCCCCCTAAACACGGGGCACACAGTATGTTGTGAGAGCACAGCCAGTGCAAACCCTTCAGTGTCTGACAAGCATCAGTTAGTTATCAGTGTATTATCAGCTTAAGTGAGCGCAGCAAAAAAGTGCTGCAATTTTTCAACCACTCTGTTTTTCTACACACCAGTGTGAAAAAGGAAACCCACAGCCACTGTTTTTTACCCTACCCTGACAAAACATGCCTACAGAAGTTGATGGAGTTAAGTTTTCAGTAGGGGACTTTGATAGCTGGGTTACTCTAAAGGTGGTCTTGCAGATTACAGAGTCTAGTTTGAGTATTCTTAAGAAATATGAGATATTTAGCAGCCAGCCAAAAAAGAACATGAAGTAAAACCAGAAGACCAAGACATCTTGATATGCATTGTGGAACTGTCTTACATAAGTTTAAGATTTAAAGTTAGTCAGAATAGTTGAAATGATAAGAAGTGACAGACGCATTAAAAATTCCAAGTCCTGCAACTAAGCTCAAGGTATATTACTTACAGCAGCAAGATGCAAGCACATGTCTGCCAAACAGCAGAAAATGATGGAGTTTTAAGACTAAAATGACAGCACAAAAACTCATGCTGAAACAAACTATAATTAGAAGAAGCTGCATTAAATCTCTGCTAAACTCTGTTCCAAAGTACATGCAGTCATGAAATGAACAACTCCCACACTGGGGCTCCAGGCACAAATCCCAGCCCTGTTTTCCCACCTGTTTCCTATTTGGCCTACCCCCTGCTCCTTAGGCACTTACTTGGAGAAGAGCCGGGAAACACCTTCTGAGTGGCAATAAACTGTGTGGAAGAGCCATGAGAAGGAGAGGCAGAGTATGGCTCCCAAGAAGAACAATCCAACCACCACTTTCTCCTGCACAGGTGCTACAAAGGACATGTTTGGCCGGAACATGTAGAAGATTCCCAGACAGAGGAAGAACACACATCCTGAAAAACAGCAAGGCAGAGAGGTGTCAAGCTCATGCAAACTGAAAGCTTTTCTTTAAAAGCATGACTGTAGTGTATAGGACTCCTAAACACAGGAGTTGCCTAACAGCCAGCAGCACGTGCAGAGTTGAGTGCTGCCCTACTTCAGTTACACATTCCAACCACAGCTCTGTCTCAGACTTGGACAGACCCTGTATCTTCACTTGTTTAGCAAGAATGCCCGACAACTACAACAATAAAATATCTGTTGCAAAATGCAGAAGGAGAAGGGCAAAGTTCAAAGAAACCCTTCCCCTTCAAGGCTCCTCACAAGTTGAAACCGGTCACAGAAGCTGCAACATAAGCATGTTCTTGTGGTAAGAAATTTGATCTCAGTTAACACCTACACTCTTGGAAGAGAAGTATCTACCAGTAATTTATCAAAAATTAGGCAATTTTTAATGCATTTGTTTGTATTATATGCCATGATTAAGGAAGTCCCATGCAACTCTGGTGGGATAAAATTAGGAGAGGGATACCAGCCTGCTAATTTAACAGGTTACTAGTGGAACAATAATGCCGATCAACACCATACCCCTTTCTATCTTGCCCTCTTTGAGAGCAGTGAAACCAACTGGCATTGGTTTAGATTAGAGCAAGGTGACAATACCTAGAAGATGTGTCCAGATGTTACCAGTCTCTGTATGTATTCTGAAGATACTCTTGAAACAAGCCCGGAAGGAAGGCATGGGTGGTCTGTGTCCATGCAACAGGTAGTCGTTGTCCTTCAGCCAGTCAGGCAGAACATCATGGGGAATGACCCTCCATCGGCCCTCCCATACCTAGAAGTTAAAAGATTTTGGTTAAATGCAGCGAATTGAGTGCCATCAATGTATGGCCAAAGAAAACTCATATTAGTAGAAGTGTTACTCTGTGAGTACAGAAAACAGAAAAGAGTTGATGGGACATCACTGGGGAAAAGGTTTTACACTTGAAATATAATGGTTTAGTCACTGTTCCCTATTCAAAACTATCATTATGAAGCTGAACTGCACCACCAGAGAAAGAAATACTTTGGCATTTCATCGAACAGGAAGGCTATTGGGCTTTTCTTACTGCTAATGAAGGAAAAGCATTTAATTTCCAGGTTTTGTTATTTTACAGGTCATCTTTTCCATTTAACTGAAGAAGCCTACACCTACTTCTTTCAAAGAAATAAATAAACCTGTTCCTCCACCACAAGCCAACCTGACTACATATCTGCTAGCATTTGGGGCAGTCCAGCAAAAAAAGCTACCCATCATCAGCACTAATAGGGGACAGAAAGCATGAAAGGGCAAGAGCCCAGCAACGAGTGTCCAACCCCTTATTCAAGGCTTGGAGAAAAATGTTCCCACGCTCACAAAAGAAATGGTAACGGATCAGTTAAAGCAACAGGTTGGTGACTCAATTCCATCAAATTTCTTCTTTAAACAGGGAGGGAGTGTATGTGCACACAGCTATTCCTGCGGCTGGTTCCACATGAAATGAGTGTGCATGGATGTCCTTAGCACTGCTTTGGTAACACAAGACACATGGAGTCTTCAGTTGGGCGTCAGAAGCAGCACTGCCAAGCAGAGGGGGATCAGGGAACTGCTTTATGTACCGGGGTTGTTTCTGCCATGTTCCTTGGATTTGCCGGCTGGCTAGAATTACAGGAGCAGGGCTGAAGATTCCTGAAACACTGAGTTTAAAAGGCTACGTTCTTATTTCAGTTTCAACAAGAGCCCAGAGTTTTTAAATCAATTCTCCACACTCATGCATGGAAGCAAAACAAAGCAATTCAGAATAACCAACCCAGTTAAAGACTGGGTTCTTGAATACAATTAACAAGAAAATAACTGGTTTACTTCATGCACCAAAAATTTGAATTGAGGTAGAAACAGAAGGAGGGAATTAATTTTACACAATCCACTCTGCAAAACATTTTAGAAGAGCAAGAGATGCATAGTAAAAAAACAAACAAACAAAAGAAAAAACCAGCAAAACCCACACATAAAAAACCCACCGAGTAACTACAGTTCCTCTATAAAAACATCAAAAATAGTGCATAAAAACAGCAGGAACCAGTGTATAAAGGGGCAGCATTCCTTTCAGCAAGGATGGAGGGCCAGAGACTGATACAGCCCCATGGCTCTCAAAGTGGCAAAAACTGAGCCAAGGTCAACAATTACAAAATTTACAATGGATTTACTTGGATATGGTTTTAATATAGCATTGTTTTCAAGTCAGGGACAAAGCTTATCCTACAATGGATGCAAATAGTGCTGGAAAAGCAAAATATTTGCAAGTCTGACAAAACCTGGGCAAAATGACCTTGTAAATTTAAGTGCCTTGAACCAGAAGGCTTTTGTTCTGCTTTGCACTCACTAGTGTTTCTCGAGAAACACACCTGAGTTGGATGATCAGCTTTAGAGTCTCATTTGTAATCCCTGTTGCTCCATGCTTTACAATTTAATCATATATGACAGACTGAGATCCTGAGACACCGTAGTATTTCTAGTTAGAACATGGGATGCTCATTCAAGAGATGGTGTGAACCTCCTCTTCCTCACATCAGCAGCACAGATGCTGCAGTATAGCCTGCTGCCCATGGAGCTTCCTAAAAAAGGAAACTAGTTTGGCAGTTTCCACATGCCCTTACCTTACACACAAATTCTTCCATTCTCTCCATAGCATGGTGGGCTTGTAGAAGAGGTGACATGCCCATAAACCCTTCGTCTTCTTGAGGTGACTCATCGTTGTGTTTGCAATCCTCAGAACACTGGGGGGGGGGGGGGAGAAAAAAAAACAAGAGAAAATGCTTTGTAGAAAGATGAACAGAGAAAGGTGATGTTGTTTTCCATACAAAACTACAATTTGAGGTCTTGGCAAATAAAGAAGTCTTTCCTTGTACAGCACTGAGGAGGGGAATTCAAAAGGACAAGCAAAAAAAAATTATTACATTCTGAGGTATCTGAGAACGACTCAGATGTCTAATCCATTCTGCATGTGTTCTCACCAGGTTTGGAAGCAGGCAGTGTTCCTCTGCAAGTTACGCTTCATTAAAGGCCAGATATGGAGTCCGGGGCTTATAGCCTACCCACCTCTAGGGAAGGATTACTCCCCATTTTATGTTTCAATAACACTATCTCGGTGTTAATGCCTCTCTAACATATCTGGCATTTTAGGGTAATAAAAAGTAAGTCAAGGAGAGGAATCCATTTACCTTGTTATAAATGTTTCACCTCAACTTTCAGCCCAAATCTGAAGATCTATTCTGTTTGACTGACATTTCTGTTCAGCTCATAATCCAGTAATAGACAATCACTCATTTGTTTGATTTTCAAGGTATTTCAGAAACTAGCACAAAACTTCTGCCAGTTACACAAAGGCGAGTTAACAAAGAAAAGCGGTAACAGACAGCAGAGTTTTAAGCAAAATTCAGATAAAGAGAAATACCCATATCCCCAAGGTGTACCAAGAAAATTATGAAAAGAAAACCTAAAACAATCTTCTTAGAGGGGACATCAAGCTGGTACAGATGACTAATAAATTTACAGAAATGAGGTTTGGTAGTGTTCTACCCTATGGTGACTTATCACATCATCTACATATTATGATACACTCTAGCTTCCCATTTAGGAAAAAAGCAGGGGGGGCACAGAAGTCCTACATTCCTGTTTGCTTACTACAGTGCTCATGGCCCATCAGAGACTCCATTCAACACTTCAGCTTCCAAGGTAAACAAATCTGAGAAAGCTGGAAAAAAGAAAATGAGCTTTTTGTACCCTTCAGACTTAATGCAGAAAGCTGCCACTCACCTCATGACCCAGAAAGCTCCACAATCCATACGAAGACTGGCTTCCTCCATATTTCCCAAAACACTCTTTTTCCCTTCTATCAAGGGTAACAACTTTAAACTCAAGATTCTGTATCCATAACGCCATCCGAAGTGACTGAGAATGTGGTGTATAACCCCTCATACCTTACCTACAAAGCAGTAGCAGTAATGTCCAGGTTAACGCCCCGAACTCTGATTCAGAGTTCAGATGTGGCTGTGCATTTGTCCCACTTTACAGCTCTCTCCTTAGAGTAAAGCCTTATTAACTGCTTCCGTCAACAAGTTAACTGAATAAGCTGCTTAAAATTTTAGGTTTTTAATAAATAAAAGGAGACTTCTTCCAGCTTACAGTGAGCTGGGTAGAGTCTTCAATATTTCATGTTTTTCTGAGAGAGAAATGACATGCTAATATCTGCTTTTGTACCCAAGGCTTGCAGTAGACACTAAAGCTCCATCTTTCAAAGAGGTCCCACCATCAAATAGGTCTTGACCCAGTTCTGCTTATCCAGAATGCAATTTCTGGTAATACACAGTATACATCCCTTGCATTTTGCATACGACTTTAGAGTTGTCCAAACTAGGAAAATTTAATTGACTAAAAAAATCTCTGAGGACAAACCATGTCCCTCATACTGCCTATTCACCTTCATTTATCCTGCCAGTGAACAGCCCCTCTGAGTAATATTTCGTATTTCATAGCAATGATTGATATAAATATTGATCAGCTCTAACCAGATTCTACAGCAGTTTAAGACAGTATTAAATACAATCACACTGCCTAGATTAGTTCTATCAAGAAAGGTATCAGGCAACATCAAGATGTAAATAGGTTTAACATCCTACTAAAACAGGCACAATCCCTGTTAGGCACAAGGATAAAAAACAAATTCAGTTTCATTCTGACTCAACAATATTCACTCACATTATTTACCACACTGTTAATTTTACTGTTTTTTTCTACTAATGGAGCTCTCTGGTTAGGATTCTCAGTTTTCAATATTATAAATAATTAACTCAAGGTCACAGAAACACAGAATGGTTTGGGTTGGAAGGGAGCTTAAAAGATCAACTAGTCCAACCCCCCTGCCATGGACGTCTGCATAAGATGCTCATGAGAGTCTGCACAATCTTAGAAACTGAAGAAGCCTTCCAATTCCAAGGGAATGCCTTATGGAAAAGCAAGGCTGGTGCTTCAGTTCTGATGTATTTTAGCTACCCTAGAATTCCTTCCCCCAGCACCACACAATAACCAGCTCAAATGGGGTGAGCAAGTTAGTAATCCTCAATTTACAAAACTCGGTGGACTGAAGGGAAAAAAGGTCCCTTATGGAATCAAAGCCTGTATTCATTGCAGTCTGCACAGTGACTCAAAGCCAAAAAATGTTCATTTCCCCCTCTGCACATACTCCCATTTCTAGAATGATGGAAAGGTTTAAATTTGAACAGACTGTAAAGCTTGAAGAGCACAGCTATTTATGAACTAGTCCAAAATCTTTGCATTTTGGCAATGTGCCTACAAACAAATCATTACTGAGCTTCTTCTAGTGATAAAAGGAATTCATATCATACACACAGTCCAGATGACTGCCAGAAAATGGAATTGATTTTACTATCTCCTTCCTGCCATTAAACTGCAAAATTAGCATTCAAGGAAAAAAACTAAAGCTCAGCTTCTTAGTCCTTTCCACACTAAGGAGACAAAACAAGGTCCGTTCTGGAACATCCGTCCTCTCTCGACTCCTTCCCGTAACATCTCATTGGAAAGAACAATGACTTGTGCTTCTTGAAAGCCAGGAATCTAAAGGGGAGGGCAACACCAACACCAGCTTTCATTTGGAAAACTGAAGGAGTCTACTGACCTTCAGTTCTTCAGACAGTGACTGAAAGAAAAGAATACCACTCTTCTGTTCAGCAGGTGTATTGTAAAATTCCTTCTGCGACATGTTCTTTCATATCTTAGGATTCCAACATTCTCTCCTCTTTGGCTGACCGTGTCAGAAATTCAACAATAATTCCAGACCATAACAACATAAGCAAGCATATGCTTTAGGACTTGTTTTCAACTATTCCTAAGTCCTGCCCACAGAATCACATTTTAAAATGAGAAACATATTGGGTAAATAATATCACTTGCTTAAGACCATGCAAAAAAAATGGCAGCCCAGAAAAAAAACCTCTGATACTCCATTTTTAAGGAGGTATGGTATATCCTGAATCAAGTGCTTTCAAGAATAACTTTTGACTTTGCAGTATCTAGACCACAGGCCAAAAGGATTTTCACTCAGCTAATGTTTCAGATGTTCTTTTATGTCACCTAATTTACTCATTTTCTTTTAAAAGTGTCTCAAATTTTGACTAAATAATTCTGTGAAGTCTTCAGGGCATTTTAGAGTACCTTTAAATAAAACTCCTCATTTCTTTGTAACAAGCAAAGTTGTTGCAATCATCAGTTGTCATTTTTCTGCGGCACAAATGCAGCAAGGCGGGACAATCAGTCGTTCACACAAATCAGAAATCAAGGACAGTATCCATAATTCTGGATACTTATGCTCCAATGGGTCTGGACTCCTAATTCTATGGAAATGCCAAGCAATCATTCCAGTTTTAATCCTACTCCCTTTGCAAACTCACAGTATTAAAGCTACTAAAAACCAGTACAGATATACCTATTGAGATGGAAATTATAAAACAGACATATAAACACAATCTGATTTGACTAATGGTACCAGAGAATAAACCAAATCTGAAGGACAAGTGAAAGTGGCCATAAGAAAACAGCTTTACTGGTTTATCCATGTCCACTTTATTTTGTGAAGTTTTACTGTTCCTTTTGTGATAACTGTGATAGCCAAGGATGTAAAAGAAAGAGGGAGAAATCAGACAATTATATTCACTTTGTACAGAGAACTGGGCAACACATCATCTAAACGAGAATTTCAGAGTATATTTTGTTAGGGATCAAAAAGGTTTGATACCAAAACCAAGCCTTAGAGAACCCAGAGCAAACAAGAGCAAGAAATCCAAGAGCTCAAATGCACAGTGCCTATCATTAAATAAGATTAGGAACAAAATCTCACTCTTTTATAGCAATGGCACAGAAGGTAAAAAAGTTTACATTTAGTACAAGAATTTGTTGCCTGGATACAGTCCAAAAATGTCAGATCACATAGCCAAAGACCCTGTTACAGAGAAAAGTGCAGTAAAACCTGCTCTAGTAAATGCATTATACTTATCTTGTCTACTACAACAGCTTATCCTTCTCACATAGATTAACAGTTTCTATACTATCACTCTCAAATCTGTTAACAGACACACTGTTTAATAATGTCCTTACTATGGAAAAGCCTGTCAGAAGTAAAGTCACAATTGCAGAATAAGAGTCCACAAACACTTTCCCCCTTTCTCCAAAGTTGTGTTCTCTGGACTTCAAGCAGTAAGTTAATTTTCTTGAGGTCTGTAGTTTCTTGATGTCTGTTTAAAAGATTTCTAAAAAGTTTCAGAGTTTGCACATGACTGCTGTTTGCACACAGGACAAGTAAGTTCTGGTTCATCACTTCAGAAAGTGTCATCTCTCTGTGTTCATTAGAGTGTGCAAACAAACATAAATCAAATCTGAATGAAGCTACCTAAGAAGTTTACTCCGTCAAAAGTGGTCCTTTTCTCCCTCACCCTCATCTTCCTTTACACTGGCACTGGCACACCTCTGATCCCTGGGTTGATTAGCTGATCAAGTACTAATCAAGAAGAAATTACCCACTTTTTTTTGCTACGTGACCCTCCTAGTAGATAATGAAGCTGGTGCAGATAACCAGGGGATTTCAGGAGCTCAAGCGCTTGCAACAGAAACAAAGGGAGCATCAGCTCCCATTTTACTGAGATCTACTACAGAACATGTTCTGTGGAACATGTGCAAGGCCAAGTTTGTCTTCAACACACGTCAG